AGGAGGAGGAGGAGGAGGGGAGGAAGAGGAGGAGGAAGAGGAGGAGGAGGAGGAGGAGGAGGAGCGGAGCGAGGTGGCGCCTCCGTCGTGAGGCCGGCGCGGCAGCGTCGAGCTCAGACGCCTGGCTGCGGCCGCTGCCCCGCGGAGGGCCGGCGGGTCCTGCTTGCCTCGTGCGCGCGCGGCGCCGCGGCGGCGGGCGGCGCGCAAGACCCGGGGCTGCCAGAGGTGCCCCGCCAGTGGGGCTGAGGAGCTCGAGGACTGCGCCGCGGGCCGCTCCTCGTGGGCCTCGGCGCCTGGACGCCCGCGCGTGGGCGGGGGGCACAGTCTCGAAGGAACCGCCGCCCAGAGTTTCCCAGGACGCCAGAGGTCTGTGCCCTCCAGCATGGCTGCGGCCCCTGCCCCGCGAGCCTGGCGCTAGGCCGGGCCTGTCCCTCTGCAGGGGGGATATTCAAGAATAGTCCAATATCAGCCAGCGTTGACTCGCAATATATAGGACGACGGGAGGAGGACGAGAGGAGGATGGGAGGAGGACGGAGGGAGGACGGGAGCAGGACGGGAGGCGGACGGGAGGAGCAACATCAAGCAAGCGCAAGCAAGCACGCGGAAGCAAGTAAGCGCAAGCGAACAATAACAAGCAGGCAAGGGCCAGCGATCAAGTGCAAGCAAGCAAGAGCAGGCAAGCGAGAGCAAGCACGCAAGAGCAAGCAAGCAAGTGCCATAGGCATAGGAAGTTTATACGATTCCTACGAATCCATAGGACTCGGCATTGGAAATAACTGAGGGGGGGGCCACTGGGAATATGGTGGGGCGCCGTTGGACAAAGGGGGGGGGGGCGCCATTGGAAATAAGGGGGGGTGCCATTCGAAAAAGGGGGGGTCCTAAAGACCAGTTGCTTATGATGAGCTAGAACTCCTACTGGGCAAACCTAGTTGGAGAAAAATATTCGGGGAATGTGCAACAATAGTCAAACTTGTCTTGAGCATGTTTGAGTTAAGTTGAGATGTCTTAATTTTTCGTCCATAATCCGCCTGTATGGGGACACGCCCGACCAAAGCCTGGCGCGATCTGCCTGTAGGAGGACACGCCCGACCGAACGCTAGGTCGGGCATGCTTTGAGTAGGGCCGAGGGTCAGAGAGCGCCTCCCTCCGCAGGGTGGTTCAACGCCTTGCCGATCAAGCCGACGGCGATGTGCAAAGTCCAACGTTCGCTTACGTCCAAAGTTTTGGCTTGGCGCCCGTTGTCGTGCATCATTTTCAACATGACCGAGCAGGTTGGCTGCCCCCCTTGACGTCCGTTTCGCGTGTTTTGCAGACCTCACCCCCCAGCCCTACTCAAGCGCTAGGTCGGGCATGTCCTCCCACCGGCGGATTTTTGACGAAAAATAAGAATTTGACAAAACATGTTCAAACATATGCAAACAAATCGTAGAAGCATCGTCCCCATATTTTTGACTATTTTTGAATATTCCTGCTGTAGAGGGGGCCTGCCCGACTTGAGCCTGGCGCTGCATTTCTGTTCACGGCGCGCGCGTGCTCGTCCGGTTTTGCGGGATCTGTTGCACGGCGCGCGCGCTCCCGCCCGGTTTTTCGGGCTTCTGGGCCCTCGCAAAACGGTGCGGCTCGAAAGACGGCGCAGAAAGATGGGGCCCAGGGTTATGATGTTCCCCAACCTACTTTAGCCCTGATCATCAGAAAGAATTTCGAGCACCATGAAACCACCAAAGCCGACGGGCTTTCGCGTGTCGTGCCCTGGGAGGCGACACTCGTTCGACATTGTTTCGATACTTTTCTGGGTGCTCGGAATTATTGTAATGGCCTCCGGCCAGTGCCGCCGATCTGGGGGGCTCCGGATTCGGTGATCTTCGCGGCTCGGTGGCCTCTTCTTTCCTCCAGTCTTCCGGTACTCTTTCTGCTCCTCTGTTTCTGTGTGCTCGAAGTTCGTTCTGGGATGTGGTTTTGTGAAGTGCACTGGGAACGACACCCTTCCAGGGCTCTGGTCGTTCGTTTTGTTGTACCATGCTTCGATTTTTCCGCGGCGTCGGATCTCAGGGTTGGCGCAGAGGTGCCCACGGGCCCAGGAACCCTCTGGGAGCCACGTCGACCCCGTCGAGGCGATTCGTTCTCGAGGATCCCGAGCTCGCTGCGACTCGACCTCCTCCTCCTCCTCTTCCTCCTCCTCCTCCTCCTCCTCCTCCTCCTCCTCTCCTTGCACTCGTCTCCTCCTTCCCATTCCTCATCCTCCTCACTAGTCCTCGTCTCCTATACACCTAACTCCTCCCTCTCCTCCTCCCTCCTCCCTCATCCTCCTCCTCCGCGGCCTGTTTTCATGGTGCCAGCGCCACACTTGCCTCGGGGCACACTGTCATGAGCAGTTGATGTAATGGGCCTGGCGTAGGAAGGCGGTCGTCTTCGTTGGCGGACAGGGATGAGTACGGCTCCCCTGCATCCGCGCAATGGGTCTGAACCTTGGCCCATCTGCAGCGGCGTCAGCTGCAAAGGCGGAGTCCGGATCGCGTTTTTCCGCGGAGTGGCGGGGCCATGTGGTCCGTGAGTCCCATGGGGCCTTCGGGTCTACTCCCGGGCGGCGTTCTCTCAGGTGGTGCCAGTGGCCCTGGGCAGACCCCGCTTACGCGTGCCCGTCGGCTGGCACCCATACTGGCCCTGCTGCTCTTATTTGAGCAAACGGCTTAAAACCGTTGGCAGGTGAACTTGGCCAGTGCAGCCCCCCGTCGGCCAAGCCGTTGCAAGGTTCGGCAGGCGACGGGTGAACAATGGGCTTGCGGGGTCCCGTCGGCGGGGCAGCGAGTCGCTAGGCGTCATGCCCCTACCCAGTGCCAGCGTCCATTCGCCCTACGGGCGACGCGGGGCTTGTCGTTACGGCGGCATGACTACTGCTTGTCCCATGCTCCCATGCTCCCATGCTCCTCCTCCTCGCTGGGGATCAAGAGGAAGCTGCACCTTTGATGTCGGCACGGCGGGCGGGGCGCTGCGCCGCTTCTGGGGCCGCAACGCCGTGGACGGCATCTGGGGGGCCCTTACAGGGGCCTCGGGGCCGTCCGCAGAAGACTCCGGAGGAGGGGTGCCGCCCCAACCTGCGGCAGGAACCTACAGGCCAATGTGGCTGGGGACAGCAGCCCGCCTTGTGGTTCCGGGCAGGCAGCGCGGTCCAGCGGAAGGGGGCGAAGAGGGGAGAAGCAGGCAGACGACGACGAACGCCCAGGCGGGAGGCCAGTGCCGGCGGGGCGGGCGGGCAGGCAGAAAACGGGCCAGGTGGAAACAGCAGGCAGGAAACACGAGGAAAGGAAACGGAGGGAAGCAACGAGCAGAAGCGGAGGGAAAGCAGGGGGGAGGAAGAGGAGGAAGAGAAGGAGGAGGAGGAGGAGGAGGAGGAGCGGCAGCAGCAGCAGGAGCAGCAGCCGCAGCAACAGCAGCAGCAGGGCCGGGCCAAGGGCCAGGAGGGAAAGGCCACCCGCGACGAACCTACGGACACTTCGGCGGCGACAGGGGGGCCCGCGCGGGCGTCGGGAAGGGCGTCGGGGGGGAGGTCGCGGGCGTAAGGGCGTCGAGAAGGGCGACGGCGGGGTCGGCCGTGGGCGCCGTAGGCGCCGTGGACGTGGAGTGGGGGCAGCTTGGGCTCGGGTTCGAGGCTCCAGGCCTGCTGCCCAGGTTTCCGCAGGCGCTCTCTGGCACGCTGGACCCGCCCATGCGGCGCTGCTTGGCGGCTCGAGCGTCGAGCGCTGGCATGCTGGATAACGACCCCTTGCCGAAGCTGGCGGCGGTGGCGGCTGGACTGGTCGCGGAGCCCGTCGCGGCGAGCGCACTGGAACCCGTGGACCAGGACCTGCGAGGGGAGCGTGAGCCCGCCGAGGTTTCCACATCCGCAGGGCCCACGCTGTCGGCTCCGCCCGCTGACGACCGATTGGAGCCCACCGGGGCCTCAGGCAGGAGCAGCTCGATGCCATTCGATGCCGCGGGCGTTGCGCAGCAAGGTCTCGCTCGAGGAGACATCCGGCGTCCGACCACATCGAGGTCATCGCGGCAGAGGTTGCCACCCACGATTGCGTGATCAGGGTCGAGGGCCCGCCTCCGTGCTCAGGGCCCGTCGAGGGGATGAAGGCCACGAACTTGACCTGCCTGGGCATGAACACCAACGCCTGGAGTACAGCCGAGACTGTATTGGCATGGTGCATGGACGAGGCCCCCAGCGGCGGCGGCCTGGCCAAGCGGCCTGATGTAGTCATGATCCAGGAGACACGCATAAAGACAGCTTCCAAGGCTTCTACGGCATCTGCTCGGGGGCAAGGAATGGCCGGCAGCTGTCTCACGGGCTGGAGGCGAGCACTGGAGATAGTAGCCTTGAGAGCTCAGGTGGCGTGGTCATCGAGATTCAGCGCAGCCTGGCCTCCACAAATTACGCAGTGAAGCATCTCGACCTGCCAGCCAACAGGGTGGGCATGCGCGTTGTCAATGTTGGGTTCCCGCAGGGCCTCTTGGCGATCGCGGTGTATTTTACCGCTGGTATTGGGTTGTCGGGGGAGAGCGCGGCGCTCTTGGAGGCCCTAGGCGAGTTCTTGCTCAGCCAGCAGCTGCCCTGGACCGCCCAGGGCGAATTCAACTGTCAGCCGCCCGCGTCGATGGCGCCTGGGCGGTTGCAGATTGTGAGGGGCGAGATCGCGGCCCCCGCGGGGCCCGCGTGCTCTGGGGCCCGCGGGGGGCCCGAAGGCAGCGAAGGGGAAGAAGGCTTGGCGGGGGCCGAGGTTCTGGACCCTGCTGGGCCCTCTGGATCCGGACGCGTCTTGGACTAATTCCTCCTAGCTGAGTGTCTGACGTCTCGGGTCAAGGGCCTCGAGGTGCACTCGGATTCCCCGCTTGGTCCACGCAGCCGTCTACGTGGAGCTGGAGGGTCTCTCTCACCTCGCTGTAATCCATCGCCAGGTTAAGTTGCGCCCGTTCGAGCACGGCCTCATTGGTCCGCATCCCGAGCCGAAGAGCGCATCGTGGCATTGGACAGGAGGCATGTCTGGTGCTGGTGAAGTTACCCTTGAGCAAATGCGCAAGCAATTGTCTGGGGCTGCCGAGGGCCGCCCGGCCCAGATCCGCGGGTTGCACGGGGGGGGAGCTCTGGGCTATTCTCGCAGGGCTCGAGGGCCCAGGACGCAGAGAATCCTTCTGGGAAGGCTCTGGGATAAGGGCCAAATGCGTAGATTCTCCGGCG